TGTCAGTGCATGAAATGTTGACTTTTTTCCCAGAAATCTCCGCTAACTTTCTTAAGGTTGTAAATCTAATGAAACCAACAGTGATCCTTTCGAATTTCAATCATTCATCTTTTTTCATTCTTGGTTACTTATACAAGTATGTTTATCGTGCAATATTTTTAGTTAGCAAATGTCATTTTTGCAGATGACATTTAACAAACACTAACATTACTTTAACTGATCAATGTAAAATAGCAATACAATTGTCTTTTAAAAACGTGAATTAACCTGTTTCCGTTAGGTATGAAAATTTGAAGAAAAAAAGCATTATTTATTAATGGGATTCGAAGATAAAAGGAAATTAAATTCGATTTTAGAGCTGTTGCAGCCTGATAATCTCATGGTTTGTTTTAAAAAGCTTTTTGTTTCTCTCTTGTTTAATTCTTTGCAATCAATTTGGATTTGAAATGTTAATACCAATGGAAAACAATGTGTCAGAAAAATGCATATCCGGGCATAAGCACTTTCGAAAGGTGGCAAATTGAGTTGCACATGCAGCCTACATAAAATTCGTTTTAAAATTATCATAGCTTAGTATTAATTAGTATTATCTACAAGTATGTGGATAAAATGGATGAATTCAAATTTTTAAGTCATAAAAAGGTATATCGGGGGCAGGTTGAAAATTAAACTTGTACATCGGCCAAGTCCCCTACATGTTTATGTTTTCTTCATGTTTGAGAGGTGAAAATCTACCATAACTTGAACGATATCTGTATTTTTACTTCCAGAGAAATGGCGTTATTTTGAATACATAAAGGTGATGAGTTAGATAAGAAATAAACAGATCCATGGAGTTTTACTCACTCGATGATGGCCGATTCAGTTATTGAATCAATATAACCATATTATCGGAAGACAGACTAGCTGACTGCGAGTGAATATCCCAAGTTGGGTACAAACGTACAGAAAAGAAGAAGAACAATCATTCTTAATTCTGACTTTACTGCCGGGAGGGGGAGGGAAAATGTGCATTGCGAATAAATCAATCATATTGTTTTGACGGGCCCAACTTTTTTGCAGCCCTTGGCGCCGTGCAAGTTTCAAACAGTATATTCCCCACGAGACGAAGAGTGAAGTCCGAAATGCTGTTTTCACATAGATCTTTACGTTATATATCTAGAATATATACAATATGTTGAACTTTTTTTGCAGCAGGAAATATCAAAGAATTGGGTTTTAAAAAAAAAGAATGTTCATCTTAAAATTAAATGACAGTAGTTCCAAGGAGAGGGAGTAATACTAGGAGAAAGAAGTTTAACCTTAACCTATTCAAGGCAGATGATTTCGCAAAAGAGCAAAATATTGGTATTTTAAAATCATAAACATACTGCGTCATTTGGTTTATGACAGTTTAATATTCAATTCAAAAGGACAACTTATCTGAAAAATGACTATTTCCATCGCACAGTATCGTCATAGTCCATTGTGGTTAACCATATGCTTGTTAATATTTACGTCCGTGCGTCAAAAAAAAAAATGTCAAATATAGGTAAACTTTCAGAAATTTTATAAATAGTATTTTTTATTGGGGGAAAGTAAGTTAGCACATTGCTCCATAAATAGCTTACTCCTCACACTTTATAAATGCTACATAATCTTGAAACATCTTGCCCCGTCTACATCGCAGAATTTCGGTCACAGGCTCTACAGAGCACAAATTATTGTGTCAGAAATGTGTCTTCGCAAAATTTAGTTTCTTCTCCCAAGTTGGCATATCAAGATGAAAACTAGAAAACTACAAAAAAAAAATATTGTTAAAAAAACAGAGAATTATCTGGCCACAATAATCCTCACCTTTTTAAATTAGAAAAGGAACTGTCACTGGAAATCGGGTATATGAAAAAAGGGGAAATTCTAATGTTTTGTAAATATATCGTCCTATTTCATTGATTCTTTTTGAGAAGATCCACCTTGGAGATGATTCGCCAGATCACATGATCCTTTAGATTGGTTATAACCTCATAAACACCAAAAAGACATTTATTCTTTTAAAAAAAATGACTACATTAATAGCCAGTTAAATGTATTATATTCTTCATACAGACCAATGACTTATTTCCGTCCCAAAAACGGCAATGACCTTGGTCAAATGTCCGCTCGGAAGCTTTTGCTTTTGTGTGATAGTGTAGAGTAAGAAGGGGAAATCCTGACTTAGAAATCAATTCTAACTGTACGGCTTTGACAGAAAGAGCAGAAATCAATAGCGAGAAAGGGGATTGTACATATATATACATCCAGAATAAATGTGAATGCATGGTTACCCCAAGCTGATAGGAGTACAGTATCAAAACCGTGTATAATTGTACGCGACTTAGTTGTTCTACACATAGTTATAAGGATGTAGAAGGTGGCAAATGTCTATGGTTAACCCTGGCTGATGCCTAACATTACGCAAAAATTACTCCTACGTCACAGTAATACTCTAGGGTTCTTGTAACGAGTATTCATTAGAAATATCAATACAGATAAAAGTAACCCAATGAAATGACTGCTCTGACATTATACTCGGGTAGAGGTCTGTGTGAACTTTATATATATTGGAGGGATTTGTTTGAACTCCCACTTTGCCTAGTGTTCTGCTCATAAATGAAAAAAGCTAGACGTGTAATTATTTTTCTTCACATTTCTTACGGAGTTTGTCTTATAACTATATTACTTTGTCTGAAAATATATGGTTATATAAAGTATATGAGTACGCCAGACTTTGTTTAATTTTCATGCTGCATGAAAGGCATGCAGATCCCAATCGGAAATTTGGGGTATTCGGACACAAAGATGAATAGGTACGACCGTACAGCAAGGGGAATTAGGGTGGATTCATGATGGTCAATATCTAGAATGTCCACCCCAGAATTGTAAGGAAAGATTTGAGAGTCTGTGCGTAAAATTGCCAAATAAGGGTTACATTTATGACATTCATGATTTATTAGTAAATATAACCCTTTGACAAGTAAGATGCTTGTAGATATAGGCAACCAGAACGAGGGGATGGGGCAAGGGGCCTGCCCTCTCCCCCTCTTTTTTGACATTATGTATCTTTCATGTAAATTGTCTTTGGATAATTTGAAAATCATGATTTTTAAAACTAGAACTTAGTATCCGAAACAATAATATGTTTAATCAACTGATTTTGTAAAGATATTGGAACTGTATATGATAAAGGGTAATTTTTCTTCGATGGGCAAGGGGAGGGGGAGGGGTCAATCCCCAGTGAAATTTAGTTAGATGAGTTCTATTTAAGGTGATTGTTCTGCCTGAAAAATAATAATGCTATCCTGCAGAAAAAAAAAATTATAAATGACATTAAAACGTGGTCTTCATCCCAAATGCACGTTTCGTATTTCATTTTAGTGGCTTAGTAAGTTATGAATAATTGTGGTACTTTAACTCTTGTCAAAGGAAACTTGAGTGTACACTTATTTCTTCCAGTCACTGAAGTGTCACCGTCTTCCGTATACTAGTATTGATAATCAATACCAATAAAGTCATTAATCAAATTCTTGGTCTTAATTTAAATTGTCAGAAGGAATGGATCCGCATGCTGCAAGGCTCAATAATAGAATTACTCAGATAGCCAATCCCAATGTACAGTGAAGGTGGGAATTCATTTTCAACTTGAATTATTAACTAGTATTCCAATTTAGATGGTTATGATATAACAACGTTACAGGGATATTTATCAAGATATTATATCGAGCACGAGTTTATGAAATATATCATAAAATCATAAATCAGATACAGTGTATATCAAAAACACAACCTCTCTGGGCGGTGCTAATATACCTCAATGTGCAACTGGGGTTGTGCCCCCCCCCTTTTTTTTTTAGAGCTAGAAGGTTGGTTGGACGGGTTGATAAAGTTAGTAATATCTTCAGCTAAAATTCATCTAAAATTGAGATACTGTTTCTAAAAAAAGAAACATAAATGAATATACATGCATGTGCATCTTGATATTTTTGTTCATAGAGTCATTTCAAGCAGAAAACTCAGATGTTTCGACTGTACAAGTATTACTTTTAAAAAGATGTTTGGAAAGATTGGGGGATAATACCAGTAGGCTTCGAATTAATCAGATTTTACACATCAGGGATGTTTTAGTGCCATGTGGCTGCATGCCACAACTATTACTATATAGTGTAGTATGAAATGAAAAGGACCCCCTCCCCCCTTTCGAGGCTTTTAACTGTTTAATCGATAGCAGTAACTAGTTGCTGTTGCATGTATGTGTATAAATAATATATGAACAAATAAGACTTCTATGATACTTTATATAGTAACAATACAATATCGGTGGTCATCTGCAGTGAGCTGAGCTAGCAGAGACTTAAGGAAGGAAATGAATGAAACCGAATGAAAAACAAAATACAGAAATAAAGGAGGAAAACACAGATTTAATTTTTTTTAAAAGTATTCCTCTGTTCCCTATACAAGTGTAAAGTCCAATAATGACATTTTTGTACGACTTGGGGTCATTTTTCGACGTCGAAAAATGATCCCCCAATATTAAGCCGTACAAAAATGTCATTTTACTGTAGAGAAAGATCTCTAGGGGGTCATTATTCATCTTTAAAACGGAAGTGATATTGCCAGAGCATAGATTAATGCTTCCTTTCGCCGAAAGTTTCGGTTGTGTACCCTTAATAATAATGTCTGAGAACCATTTTTCTTCTTTGTAATAATTTTTTTTAGTCCCTAAAACCAATCTAGGGGCGGAGGGATCCAGCAGAATTTCCAACCGTAGACAACACAGCAGATATTCATAAACATTCCGTGATACTTTTTTTAAATGTTTTATTTCTTCTTTTAAATTATTTTGTTTGTTTGTTTTTGTTTTTCCTCTTCTTCTTTTTATTAAATTTTAAAACAGTAACAAATCTAATCTATCGGAATATACTTTTGGCCAGACCTGTAGAAGAAGAAATGTCGCGGGCGTTGGCAAGGTTGCGCAGAGCTCTGCGCATTCTAGTATTTTCGTATGTAAATAAGATGTTGTCAACGCCATCTTGAAGGGAATTGTTTACTATTAGAAATCGGGGCAAATCATGCATCGTATGTGCCATCGAAGACTTTAATAAATGGTTTCATTCTGAGTAAAGCCCCAGGATGGCTACCACAGAAACTAAATTATCTACGACCGAAAGAGTCGTGAAAAGTAAGTAATTCGTTTTAATGCGACAAAAATAGTACCCGATCCGCCATATTGGCTGTCGGCCATGACTGTGCAACTGACATCCGTTTATGGCATCAGTATATATTTTGTTTGAATGGAAAATATATTATTGCATGCTTTAGATAAAGCCTTGAGCTTATGTCCTATTTTTGATTAATAGAGTAAAGTCTTTGTTGCAAGCTATTGGCAATTTTTGAAAATGAATGTGAAATAGATTCTGCAACTGCAGATGTCACCTCTTCATCCAGTGACGAATGACGAAGTGCGTTTTTTCAACGATATTGCTTATTAGAAAATGAGAGAATATACAAACAAATAAAAAGTATTGACTGATTCCTAGCTTATCCTACAGGCTTCGCAACAAAAAGTGCTGTCGGTTGTTATTTTCTGTAACTGATGATTGTGGTCACTTTGCTCAAAAGTAATCAAGCTTGAACTTGAATTTGACAATTTCTATACCATTGTACCCTAAAATCAAGAGTAAGTGCATGTCCTGTGTAGCAGTGATCAATGTGGGATTTATATGTGGAAAAAAAATTATTTGGCACATGAATTGTAACTTGTTGGGGTCAATTTTCACCTGTTGACATTAATTTCAAAATGCTCCTGTTGTTTTCCCCAAAACTGAAGAGTCTTGGTTTGTTCAATAGCCTTTGATAAAGTTGAAACAAGCCTGAAAAGAAATGCTAGTATAAGGACATTAAACACGATAGTTCGAGCAGCAGTGATGAATGTAAATTCTGTCCACATGATATCATACTAGTTGCCCATAGTATACAGTATTTGGAATGATTCAATTCAGTATGACTATGCCTTTCAAAATATTAAGGTGAAGTGAAATTATTTGTAAAATTCAGTCTTCATATGAATTCATGTATCTCATCATATTTTATGGCATTAAAAAGAATGATGAGTCAAGGAAAGGAAACATAATAGGACCTATTACCTTATTTCATTTTCATAAACCTTGAAAGTTGACAAGGTGGACATATTTTTGAATAAATGAATGGAGTACTGTAGGGAATTGAAGGCAATTCCAGTACAAATAAACCCACGATAAAAATGGTTTTGATCTAATTGTTTAATGTTAATTATAGTCAAACCTGGTTATTTCAAACTTGATGGGACCAAGAATCTGAGAATTTGAGATATAGAGGGTCAAATACTTAAAAGAATGAGTGGTTGGGACTTCCAAATCCATTCATTATATCCATGGTATTTGAGATATCAGTATTCCAGATACCAAAGTTTAACTGTAGTTTAATTGCTATTTGGAATATTAAAAAAAATTTCCTTCCATACTGTGAAAAATCAATATTCTGGAACTAGCTACTAATACCAAGGTATTAAGGAGCTGCTATAACCATTCATTACCAAATCTCACAGGTCCGAGGCCAGTAAAATTGGCTGGGAGCAAGTAAAGTTGAAAATTAAATAGATTCAATGGGCCTGCAGGATTTTTTAAGGCCCCATTATTAAAGCTAAAAACATTTTTTCCCTGTTTTTGCTCAAGAATTCCAAACCAATTACAAAATGACTGCATTGGTTGTTAAACTCCCTCTTACATTAAGCAGTGCTACATCAGACTTGTTGAAATCCGTTGGTCCTGTCTGCAAGGCCGATAAAAATTTGTCTGGACTGACAACTTTAAAGAAAACGTCGGTCCAGATGACCATTTGAAAAAATTGAGCATGATGCAAATTTAATAAAGGTAGGGATAGGGATGCGTAGCTGAAGGTCACAAACACAGAAAAAATGGCTGCGTACGCGGCGTGTTGACGATAGCCAATTAAATTTGTTATAGCAAAGTCATAAAACATGTCATTTATGTCTTTTATTAAAGACTTTCTATCCCAAGGAAGGAAACTTGTAAGATTGAAGGCTGTCGAAAATAATCCAGGGCATTTTGGAGCTGTTATTCATATGACTTTCACAGCGTCAAAATAAGGTACATGTATCTGGTCTGAGAAAACTCTAACTGGTCCAACAGAACATTTGACTTTGTCAGACCAAATGTCTGACAATGATTTAAAAATTTCAACAAGTCTGGCTACATGATGATCTTTTTTTCTTAATCCGAATTTCCTCTATTCCTTTGTTCATGCGAAATACTTGAAGACATGCAATTATATTATTCTGAGTTATTCAACTTAAGAGTACATGTTAAAAAGAGTTATTTCAGACACAAAAATATATTTACACTTGCATATTAAATATTTAATACAAATAAAACTTTGATGTGTTACTTCATTTTGGAAGAGCTAGTCTCTTTCTAGTTAGAATAATCTAACTGTATCTCAGGACGATCCCTCACCACAGTTGGAATGTGTCCCATATACTTGCAATGTAGCAAATCAGAGCAGATCCACTCCGAAATGATTTTGAAGAATACAAAAGGAGTTACACTGAAAATAACTTCCAAATTAATCATAACAAACCTTTTTGAGATTGTGTATGCCTTTTAACCTAAAAAATAATCCATATATACGAAAATTCAACTCATTTTCTCAACGTTTTTTCGTCGCTTCAAATTTACACGCCATGTTGACATTCGAAACTCTCTGGGTTGTTCATAGAAAATGCACAAAGTTCGAGTTATCGCCCATGTTTATTTTGCTGCATTGCCAATACACGGAACGAATTCTATTGTTAAACCGGGTCCGTAGGACAATATCATTTTAACAATGGAATGTTCTATCTAATCTCTTTCTGATTTCATACAACCGTGGTATTGTATATTCTATACATTTGATTGCACTACTTTATTAGGTTGATATAAGGGAAAAAAAGGCAACATTTTAAGAAAGTTGAATAACAAATTAATCATTATTAATAATATTTATAAAATTATTAAAATGTACAGAAAGTGGAGGGGGCCTCCTAATTTCCCTGGGGGCCTGTAGTTTTCATTGACTTGAAGGTCCTATGTTTCAGTGGAGCAAATAGTTTTGGTAAAGACTGTATTACCTAATAGTAACCTAATAGTTGGGATGCGTTGGATAAAATAATGACCTACATTTTGAATACTTTACAGGTGTTCCATTTCCACCCAGCCACAAGCTCTCTATGAATGAAGTATTTGACGCAAAAGGCAAACCCAAACCTGATGTATTGAAACAGCATTTTATCATGGAAGGGCGCGTCTCAGAGGATGTGGCGCTGCGCCTTATTAACGACGGTGCTGCTTTGTTACGACAAGAGAAGACCATGATTGACATTGAGGCACCTGTCACAGGTTGGCATTTAGGAACTCTTTAAAATTAAGAAACAAATGCTCTAGAACAGTTACTTTGGACATTTCACATTCATGTTTTATTGATCTTATACAATATGTGTGAAAATTTCATGATTAATGCACAGAAAATTGTTTAATTGGTTACCAATTGGCTAGAGACAAATTTCAAAATAAAATACAGCTTGCCTTAGGTATTATTAAAAAAAAGAATTGAGTGCTTGTTATAGACTGATATGTTGATGGAAACTGACCCCTTATTCAATAGTAATGTCATGAAGTTCTTTTGGATTTTGTGCAGGCAGTAGAGAAAACGATAAGCCGTAGAATAAACAAAACAAATTAAATTTATTAAATAAAAAAAAAATAGAAAATTTCAAAACAAACACACTCTCGCGCACCCTCTCTCACAAAGAAACAAATTACAACTTTAAATTGCAAACCAAATAATATTGACAATGAAATAAAGATTTAACTTTAAACACAATCAATTGTCAATAAAACAGATATTGGTTTCAAAACATAAACTCTAACTTTAACTGGAAACAATCAAATAATAAAGTTCAACACTGTATTAAGTGTCCGCAGAAAAAAATTCACTTTTAATTAAACAATAACAGTAAATGTAAATTCCGTTAAATGTCAAAATTTAATTCTTATCAATGTTTTATTTCTTTAACTGAATTGGAAGTTGGGCTTTTTGCTGTTCAATACTGTATAAAAACTGTTATATTAAACTTCAAACCACTGGGCCTCCATACAACGAACACTCCGCCCCTTTGATTCCAGCCCTGGACTCACAGGTCTCCCACTGGACAACTTGAGAATTTACTCGTCATTATACTGCCGTGAACCATCACCAATGCTCTATACGCACTGTCCACGTACACCACGCCCTGTGTCACCAACTTGTTTTGGCCCCCGTCTCGACACACGACCCAAACTCCCTCGTGAGGTCCTAAACATACTTCAGTCCCGGGTTTATAATCATAACCCCTCCGCACTGAAACAATAATTAGCTTATCTAAAACCTGTACCCTACTCACTTAAACTACAAATAGTGATAACAAACAATACACCCGTAAAGTTCGAACAAAACCCACAAATATATACACAAAAGAAAATTATAGCTTACCGGCTGGAGAAATAAATGCCCATGTCGTAAAATTACCGACTCCTTGGCTACCCGTTTACCAGACTAACTTCTGGAATTCGCCATGGAATATCGACTACAGGACAAAATCAAAACGTGGCCGCACACTTGACAAACAGCCACGACTCTCCCTGACCAAACCGGTCATACTAAAAATAGCCTATTTACGAACACTCTCAACTACGGAACCAAAATAGGGATATAATTACAACTATTTACACATAAAACAACAAAACTGATAAGCAACATAATTCAACTTCATCACAAGTAACTACTTTGAGATTCAAATCATACTAAGGTCAAATATTGGTTAAATTAACAGACAGTAAATTAAATATACATGAAGTAAGGATAATAGGATATTGAAATAAGCAGGTTTGTTATGGTTATTTGTCAGAAAGAAGCATAAAGAATATTTTAGTTCTGCAATGAATGATTAATTAAATAAATATATTCGTTAGATCATCTATATAAAGAAGTACAATGTTTTATGAATTTTCATTAATTGTTGGACTTGGTGCTTCTGTAACATAAGTGTCCTAAAACGAACTTTTTTTTTTTATAAGAAAAGAGTTCTATTGGATACTCTAAAAGCAAGTTGAAAGCGTTTATATATTCACTTTTACTCCATTTTTGATGATAGCATATTTATATGGTAAATATATACGGTAAATATTTATATGGTAAGGATATTCTGCATCTTCTATAATATGTACAAATTTTTATCTCTAATTTCAGTGTGTGGAGACATTCATGGTCAGTTTTATGACCTGATGAAACTGTTTGAAGTAGGTGGACCACCTTCCACAACACGCTACCTCTTCCTTGGTGATTATGTCGACAGGGGATACTTCAGCATAGAGGTAAAGAAATATTTCACTTGAAAACATTACAGTTTTCAATCAGGGTGAAGTTGGAAGATTCATAATCTTCCGTGATACATGATCATTAATTGTCCAAAAATTTCTCTTGATACTCTCTGGTAATGAGTTTTTAACTCAAATTATTTTGAATATTGAATAGAGTTGCACTATGGTCATATGCAAAGAATCAAGGTGATGGAGTTCTTATGCAGGATTTTATCTTGTAAGAGACACTTCTCCTATTGTGACCCAAACATGGGGATTGCTATGAAAAGGATTGCATAAAACGTAAAATGCATGTTATTTAACAAGTAAAAAAATGAAGGCATATATTTGGATTTTATACAATGTTTTTTTTTTTCCCCCAGTGTGTGCTATATCTGTGGGCCTTAAAGATACTGCACCCAACCACATTTTTCCTTCTACGGGGAAATCATGAGTGTAGACACTTAACGGAATATTTCACATTTAAACAAGAATGTAAGTCACTTTTACTGTTTTATGATTGTTTAGCACATAGACTTATAGATGTTGTCGGATTTATTATCAGATGGATATTTAGAAAATTTCGCATTGTAAATACAAAGTAAGATTTAAAAAAAAAAAAAAAAAAATTGTGTTCCAGTTTGCTTCCTTGCTTGGAAGGTGTAACCTTTAGAACCATAAACAGAAGTCTTTTACTCCAGCTGTTACGTGTCACCCTTGACTAAGGCAGTTTGGTTTAAGATTTTTGATTATCAATATGTATTGTTTGATTACACATTTCCTCTTGGTCTATATATTGTCAAGTTTATTTTCTGGGACTTCTAAATTTTTCTTGTTCACCTAAGTGTTCTACCGTACAATATCTAAAATAATGCCTTGGTCCTGTAATGTTAGATGCCTTTGGGACATTTCTGTATGCTGACCTTGAAAAATAGTGTAGGTTGGCTTACAGACTTAAGGAAAGTATCTAATTCATTTGTGTTGTACTAGTGTTGAATTTCTGGTCTGCATAATGACAAAGATTTTTATACTGTTTATATGCTTAACATGTTAGAGGTGTAACATTTAATGTATATCACAAAGAATATAATGAAGGTTTAGTCATTATTTAACATTTAATGACTTGCAACTGAGGAAAAGTGACAATACGCTGAATGTATTTGGTTTGGAGGTGTATTGTTGGGTGGTTTTAGATGACCAAAGTGATCATTAGTTTAACCCATTTTTTTTTAAAGTACTGATAGGAAGTTCTAAGAGGTATACAACATCATGTAATCAAGAGTTTGACCTCTCCTGCTTCAAAAAGCAATACAGATAGAACAAGATGAAATGCATTGTCAGGTCTCTCCTAGTTAGTAAAGTATATGAGTATGACTGTATGAATGTAAGAATGTGCAAGCTGGGTCTTCATAATATGAGATTTTAAAAGGGAGAAGGTAGATAAAGTATATTTGTATCTCAGTGAATCTAGTATTCTGTCATATTCCGTCATCGCACATCTTGGTAGATCTGGGCGTTTATAAAATGCTTTCTTGTGGGAGTCTACTACAGAATGTGTATAGTGCAGATTGATGGCTCTCTGCCAATGAATCTTTTTATTCTATTGTTTCCTTTCCAGAATTGAGTCAGTTTTCACCATTGAGTGAAAGTGAGCTGCTGTGCAGTTTTGTTTTACTTTGTTGTCCTTGTAAGACTTCAATTCTAATTCACTGCCAAATCTGTAATTTGAAAATTCCTGTGGCTTAAATGTAATCAGGTCAAAATCAAGTTTGATCATGTATACTATAAAGTTTTGCTTGGTGTAAGTTCGGTACTTGGTGTTTTTAAAGAGATGAGCATAATGTGAAGTTAATGCTCAGAGGAGAACAGAGATACATTTGTAAAACTGGAAAGTGACAAGTGAATATATGCTGTGTGTGATTATATTATTTAATCAGATGAGCTGCATACAGAGTAAGGCTGAACAGTTGATCAATGTCTTTATTGAAGGTGCTGGAAAACAATGTGTCTGGTAAATTGTGGCATGTCTGTATACAATGCATATTGATCTGTTCTCAAATGATACATGAACCAATCCACTGAGTGTAGCTGTCACAGCTCATTGAAGCTTGATTTATTTAGACTGCGAGTGTACGCTTCCAAAAAAACATTAAGTATGTATATTGCATAACAATTTTTGACTTGTGGCAGACCTAGGTGTAGCCTTTATAAAAGTACTATGTGCCTTGTCTGTAGAAGACAATCATGTTATTTGTCAAGGTTATACCTCCCTCCAAGCCCTGTCATTTAATTGCATTCCATTGCTGTGTATTGATCTTGTACCTTGATCCACTTACCCAAATCTGATTTAAAAATCTAGCAGTCGGCCATATACAATGATTTTTGATAAAGCCTCTTCATTGTGTATTGTAGTAAATGTTTTGTTTTGGACTCCATTTACAAACTGTATTTCCTTGGTTCATCTAATTGGAAAGCTGATGCGCAGAATTGTCTGATCATTTGACCTTTTTAAAACAATAGTCCAAGAAAACCATAGTACTTTAGGCTGGTAGAACCAAGTGTTTGCTCAAAAAAAATATTTTGAATCATCTAAGGAGTTCTCTGTAAAAGTGCTTTAATCCAAATATAGAGACATAATTGTACATATATGTAATTTTAGATTTCTAGAGCAGTGTCAAAGAATTATCATCATAATTGATCTTCACTGCATTTGTGAGCATATCATAGAGTCTTGATGTCGTTAGAAAAAAATCATGCCAAGCTATTGTGCATATAAAGATCTTTACATTAATCTCACTATTGATTTTTATTTCTTCTGCAGAGAATTGACTGACTGACCTTGTTTCTTTCAGGTAAAATAAAATATACAGAAAAAGTGTATGATGCTTGCATGGAAGCGTTTGATTGTTTACCCCTAGCAGCATTAATGAATCAACAGTTTTTATGTGTCCATGGCGGGCTTTCACCAGAAATCCACAATTTAGATGATATTAGGAAAGTGAGTACAATGTGAAACAGCTGTAGTTGTTTGATGTTTGGAATAAAATGCACAGTCATAGGTTAGCAGTTATCTCTGGCTCTCGTTATCTGCTAGTGCTATGCATGAATCTTCATTATATATTGTGCAGCCTTAGAACTATTATATCTGATAACAAAACTGTAAAGTTCTCACCAATAATCAGTTGAATACATGCCTTTTAGACTAAAGGTATGGATGGTTATGCTGTCTGTTAATGCACTAACTTGCCTGCAGAATTAACCTGTCTGCAAAATTATAACTCCATAGCAGTTGTGTGTAGGTGTGCGATCAACCCTTGCCTTATCACATGAATGCAGCTGAAGGAAAGTGAAATTGATGAGAAGACCAGCATGTTTGGCTTATTGCGTGATGGCAAAAAACAGGGCAATACAAATTTTTTTGTCTTTGGATTAAATACAAGCCAAAATCTGCTGACCTTCTTTCTTAGTCTCAGTTTTAACTGGTTATGATAGATTAGATAATGTCTAATAGGCAGCTGAACTCAATGAGGCTTTCCTTTATAAAGCCTGTCCCATTTGGCAAAACAGCTCCTGAATACCAGTGAATTATGTAATTGCTTATAATTTCACATGGTTTTATCCTGCCAAATAGCCAATGTCTTCTGCAGCTGTTGGCATACTATTTGTTGTTGTTTGTATGCAAGACTATTGGCACATGGAAGCCTTAATTGATTAAAGATGACTGTTTTTCAATGAGAATAAGACAACAGCAACTGTTGAAAAATTACAATGAAGTTGATCAAATATATTGATTTGTATCCAGAAATGAACAAGTAATTAAAAATGGGTAATAAATAATCTTTCAAATCTTTTTCAGTTGGATAGGTTTAAGGAACCTCCAGCATTTGGTCCCATGTGTGATATATTATGGTCAGACCCATTAGAAGACTTTGGATCAGAGAGGACATCAGAACATTTTACTCATAATAGTGTTAGAGGTTGCTCATATTTCTACAGGTAACACAACTCTGGTCTCTCCATACCAAGTCTAGATAATAATGGCCATGGTTTGTGACACATCTGCATTGGAGAAAGGATTTTCATTATTGATTGTCAATGACACCTCCACAATATTGTTATTGTTAGATGTGTCGCCTCTCATGTTCACATATTTTATTGTCTGTCAGTTTATTATTTGAATTGAATATATTTTCTTTTCTCTTTCAGCTATGCAGCATGTTGTGATTTTTTGCAGCAAAATAATTTATTATCAATTATCAGAGCACATGAAGCACAGGATGCTGGGTGAGTTCTATTAAGAAATCAAACGGATGAAGATTTCATTACAGATGTAGTACTTCATTTCCTGCAGATGCCTCTGTTATAAGAAGAAAACTTAGAAATATAGGTGATATCTGGATTTCCCCAAATTAATGGGTTTTTACATCACCTAAGTGTCTCAGGTGAATTGTTCAAATTCTCTGGTCTCCGCCTTAAAAATAATGTGATCTTCTTAAATCTTAACTTGTGGACATAAGGTGGAGGTAAGATTTTTCGAATAATTATAAGCAACAAGTCCATTACCAGAACATTGAAGTTCATGACCCCTGGTTCAAATCCTAGGGTGGGGCTAATTTGGACATATATTGAATATGTGTTTTGTCTTCATTTTTACTCCTTGACTTCAAGTAGTCAAATCTCTTCTTTATTCCTTGAGTTAAGTAGTCAAAACATTTGGCATAATTATAAATAAAGAATGATCCCTTTACCAAAACTGTAATTTATTACCAATGGATTCCGGTTCCAGGGTGAGGCTAAGTTGGTCATATCACAGTGGCCAGTATCATACTTTGATTGATTTTAACTGATTTTACACGGGGTCAAACTCACAAACCCAATATCCTGTCATGCAAGTTCGTCCACTAAAGTTGCTCAACACAGCATCTAAGATTTAAACGGGACTGGATTGATAAAAGATATATAAACTGGTAGCTTACACATTCTTTAATCTGATTATGTTTATTTGTTCATATGGAAAAGTCTTGCACTTCTTTAATCTGTGTGATTTTAGGTCAGTGCACTCTATAGTTAACTAGTGCATTGTAGTTAATTTATCATTTTTATTTTCTTGACTAGAATAATTGTCTCAAACTTGATAGATTTATATACACAAAGGAAAAAAATATCATAAAATCATGTTATTCATACAATACAGAAATCTTTAAATAAATGAATAAAAAAGATTGAATTCTTTGACATTCTCATTGCAGTGTTTGATGTTTTTCAGGTACCGGATGTACAGAAAAAGTCAAACAACAGGATTTCCCTCTCTAATTACAATATTCTCTGCACCAAATTACTTAGATGTATATAATAATAAAGGTAAGTGAAATAAATATACCCATCAAATGGTATTTGGGTGGTACACCTTTAATGAATTTTAGAACCCTTCTATCTTGAGGTTTCAGGGATGTCGCCATTGTGTTAAATATTCAGATTTTCCATTAAAGGATAATATCCCAGCTTTTCCCTTAGGACACAACGTTCCAAAGGTAAACAAACCCAAAAGATAACCATCAAGAATATCCAAAAAAGACTTGTGCCTGACTTTTTTAGGTGGAATTAAAAAAATTCTTGTCTTGCATTGTAACCAGCCCATAAATTTATGATGAAAAACTTGATAAGGTTTTCTTTAAAACAGTTGTAGACTACTTTTTTATTTGGTAGAAACCAATTGAATGTAGGTCATTTGAATTGAGCAACTGGGCATGACAGAATTTGTAATGAAGGGTATATGTAGGGCTTGGTATTGGCTTCTTTGATGGGTGATTACACCACTTGTCTCATATTGCTAGTGACTTCTGTGACTGAGGATCAATTCACCCTGGTATGTCACATGCTAGCATGTGTTTATAAGTGATTTTTAACCCACATAAATAAATGCCCCATTTCTTTTTGTGTAAACTAATAGTATATTAACAGAAAACTTGCTGTTAAATAATGGTGTTCAAACATCAGTGAGAACAAATCCAAACCCTGCACTTTGTTTTTATATGATATGAAAAAAAAATTGTATGTGGCATGTTTTAATTAATTTTTTACATCCACAAGTGTTACTTGTATAGTATGCCCCTGTTAAAAAAAATCTTCTATAAACTGTCGGTCACACTGATGAGGAAGTTTTGTTACATTTACTGAAAATACTGGAAAAATTTTTGTGTGCGAGACTGTATAGATGAATAGTGTATACTGTAAAACCTGTATAAAATTAGCATAGGCTAAATTAATCACAGTCTTCTTTTTCAACTGATTAGCACCATCATAAAATAAGCACACTTGAGTCTTCAAAACAATGTTAATTTTAATCATATACTGTAAACGTGAGTCAGAATTCCATGGAATCACAATTTCTGTTCAATCCACAGGTAGAAAATAACATGAATTTCTTAGATTGCTGCTATTTGCTTTACATGTACTTTAATTATGCTGGGACAAATTTTCACGGAAAATTTGTGACTGTGTACATAGCGTAAATTAATACCAAGTGGAAAAAAGTACTTCTACATTATTAGCTTCTACATGTATTACCAGCATGAAAGGTGCTAAAAAATGATTATTGGTAAAGTATATACAGTAAACCTTTTACAGTATGCAAAAACTGTGTATGCCTCAGTTTTAGATTGCTGTGATGGGCATTTATTTTGTTAAGAGGGCTCAAATTTCATGAACTGTGTTTTACATAGCAAATTCCTGCAAAAAATATTCAATGATTCATTGACTGCATGATGTTTTTTAGCTGCCATATTAAAGTATGAAAACAATGTGATGAATATCCGACAGTTCAACTGTTCACCACATCCATACTGGTTGCCAAATTTCATTGATGTTTTTACGTGGTCTCTTCCATTCGTTGGAGAGAAAGGTTTGGAAATTAAGTCACCTTTGAATCTTCTAAAATTATGGTAATGCATGTATATTTGAGAACACATTGAGAGTCTGTGTAGAATTTTAATGAAAGCTAAATAAAACAGTGTACTGAAATCTAAGTAGCAGTGTTTTAGTATGGTAAAACATTGGAGTATGTAATTGTTGTAATTGTTCTTTCTTTTCAGTGACAGAAATGCTAGTAAATGTGCTCAGCATTTGTTCTGATGACGAGTTGATTAGAGATGAAGATGACACATTTGAAGGTAGAGATTATTAGCATTTTATTCATTTTGCATTAAAGTAATAGAAAAAAAAACTTTTTTCATTATCTATATGATAACAATCAAAAGATATTGGCTTTGGAATGTGTGTGTGTTTGAATCAATTCCTTTACGCGGAATGTTATTTTTGCCAATTTACGTGCATTACAGACATTGAATTTAACAATTTAACTTGAAAAGATTCAGAAGTGCAGTTTGAAATTGCCAAAAAGAAAAAAAAATGAAAACCTGGGAAGGTGGGGGAAGATGTTATGATTATTTAATAGGGTTATTAATGATGCTGTATTTTTCACTCAAATAGGAACTGATGAAGGTAAATCTACTTATAACAGTGCAATCTGTGTAGTCAAAAGACGGTTAAAACTCAGAAGTGTTCAAAATTTGTATTGTGTAGATCTATCCTTGTGTTGTTGCATATTTTGGGAAATGTTAGCTGCACTCTATAGACAAAATGTACTGTTTAGTTGAAGTGACATTGTTTTGTCCAGTTTGAATTCACAAATCTTTTTTTCCCGCATTTTTAAAATTTTTTTTTAATTTCATTTTTTTTGGGGGGGTTTAACCAAAAGTTACTAGAACTTCTAGCAGTATTTTTATATTATACTTTCTCAGAATTTTCCTTGTAGCTACATTCCATAAGGATGTGTTCTAAATATGACACAGAAATATGAAAAATGGGTGGGGCTGGTTTAGAGAACATGTATTTTTGTATCTGTATTTAGTGAAAAAAAAGAAAATATTTATACAACTTCTGTTGTGGTACACATATTTATTGCTTATCACAGATTCAGCATGGCTTGAATTCTGAAACACCAGCTTCTTTAGTGGTAGGCACAAGATACATGTATTTTGACGTTCATGTTAATGCAATATTTTATAGATAAAGGAATAACAGTGATGGGCTTTGCTTATAAAATGGTTATTTAGTCATTACATTTATAAAGTAACAAGATTATTGACCAGAGAAATATTTGAAAACCCAAATAGTTAAATGATATGATAATTCATGATCACTGACTTTTGTGTAATGTACATTATACAGAAATGAAGCTTAGGTGATGGGTTGTCATGGTCAGGTCTTGAAGCTTTAGAAGCATGGAAATAAGTTGTTCATTTTAAACAACAAAATTATGTACACAGAGAAAGTCAGTGGAAAGATTTTTCCAGCAAAACTTCTGATCACATACCTTTAAATGAAAATTGAAATTCTAGTGAGCACGTTGAATTGAATGCATGTGAATAATCCTACCACCAATGCTTAAAATTAACAATTCCCTCAAAAATTTTGACCTTGGGAAGCAATTTGATACTGATTTAAATTCACCTAAAAGCTACATACCATTGATAAATAAGCTGAGAAACATTTTTTTTAAAAATTGCAGAGTATATATTTATTTCTTAGCTCAGATTGTACATTGTGTATCACATTTATTGTACTTTATTGTATTTTTTAACTTAACATGCTTAAGGTTCTAAATAAAATTTAGAAGACACTTTTATTAGGTACACTGGTGACTGTTGCTCATTCTTAATGATCAAAACTGTAGCTTTTAGGGGATGTTGAAATCAGTTTGTTACTTTCCAGTCAGACCAGACATAAATGATCAATTATTAAGTAAAACCAGCTGTACAGTTCAGTCATTACATCTGCTGATTTTTCTGTATTTAAACAAAGAGATTGTGCTGGTCTGACTATGTGTAAAGTTTGTTACTCTCTGTCTTGTTGGTTCCCTTCACATTCGTTTGCATGTGTTTACTGTAGGACCTCGTAATGGTAAGTCAAGAGTCCAGACTGCTGTGGATATAGCTTAGAGCCATAAGTATATACATAACTTGCATATTACGCTGCTAGTAGCCTTTTATAACCCTATATAGCTGGATGTAAAATGCTACTGCCTGTAGTTTTTTTTATAGCTTTTTGCTTGAATAAATGGTACTCAGATTATCATGAAGTCAACAAGATTGACTAATAGATTTATGTAACATTCTAGTTTCTGACCCAAAAGACCAGGATAAAGAGGCAAGTAAGTGTCTCCAGCATGGACCGCATCTGTGTCATTGCCTGGTTGGCCCCCTCAACGATGCTCCATCCCCCCATCCCCATGACTAGTCCCCAAGATTTTCTTCTTTTAATGCTAGCACAAAATTAAAGAGAAGTTGCATAGTTGCTTATGATGACTAGAACAGTATTTGCCATGTAACTGGCATTGCTTTGAAGCATATAAAACCAAAAAAAAATATTTCTTAAACTTCATTGCAATACATCTTTTATCCTTTAATTTTGGCATCCTAGCTTTAATGTATCACAAAACAATTAAGAAAGTTACTTTATAAATGCCAATATCTACATTTTCACAAGGAAGTGGAGTGGAGCATCAAAGGAGTAATTTGTTGTGCTTACTACAACATGTATAGAAACATATCCAAAGAATCTACTTGTGTTGTTCTTAACAGCTACAAGATTTGTGAAATATATTTTACAAGTTGCAATTTTAATAGGCTCTACACTTGTTATGTCAATAAGTGCATTGTTAAAAATGGCACATGTTTTCATTAACTCATTCTAATGTAGATGTCTGTTAGTGCTACAAGGCAGATGGCTGCTCAATCTAAGTAATAGGACAGGGAAAAGAGCATTTTTGTGTCTTTGTATTGCTTTATGTTTTAAACAATGTTACAGACACTAAAAATGTAAGCTGGGTCCTAATCTACTAGTCAAGTGTCACTAAGTGGTCAGCATTTATGGTCTAACATTGCTCTGACACTAGCGCACATAGCTTCAAAAACAATTCACATGCAGTGCATATATGTATTTATTTCTTGGGGAAATACCTTGCCTTGTTTCTATGAACACTTTACTGATACACCAGTATTAACCTGTAGACCTCATTCCTTTTAACCAAAATTTTAACTGTGTCCTAAATTGAGACCAACACATTTTTATATTAAGGAAGAAAATATCCAGCCATACATCCTTGCACCGATCAGAATGGTTTATTATAATTTACATACAAAGTACATGCAAAAAATATCTGAATATAAAAATTTTAAAACTTAAAGCAAAGAATGAATTGAAGTTTCTTGATAAATTTCTAGAATTACTTAAGAAATAAAATCAGATAAGACAATCAATTTATTTGCACTTGTTAGATTTTATACAACACTGATTTTCCAGGAGGTACTATAGCCGCCAGGAAAGAGGTGATACGTAACAAAATCCGAGCCATTGGAAAAATGGCTCGTGTGTTCACGGTGCTCAGGTAGGTGGCGTGTGCTGCTTTGGTTGGCTGGGTTTGTTTATGAGTGTGTGTTTGAATTTGTTACAGATGGTGCAGTGGCAGCCAGGAAAGAAGTGATACGGAACAAAATCCGGGCAATCGGCAAAATGGCACGTGTCTTCACTGTTCTGAGGTACGTGTCCTTTGACCAGACAAAATCAACAAATATGAAATCTGGCTTCCTCTGTCCTCTGTTTATACATGTATTTTAAACAAGAAAATGCTTTCAATTAATCTTTCACCAAATTGAACTGTAAAATTACGGCCCAGAACATTTTTCACTCGTTTGCTAAAGAAGGTCTGAAGCATACTGGGAATTGTTTTGCTTTCTGCATTTTTATGGTTTCCAGTACATGCCTTTAACAGATGTGGCTTGCTTTGATTACATAATTAAGATGCACTTTGGCAACCATATGACTTGTATGAATTTAATATGCTTTTGTCCAATATATATATATAGATGAAGAGGATATTTTTAGCAAAAAGCCTGATAGCTTTTTAAAAGTTTTCAAAACAACCTATTCACTTTAAAATTTTCAAAAATCAGAAATCCCCAAAAGTGAAAACATGTATTATTTGTATGAATTTCCATGCACTGTTAAATGCTTTCAGTCCTGAATGTGTATGCAGCCACACGTTGCATGAATCTCCGACAAATATGTAAAATCAATTATATTACTTTATTCCTATTATCATATGTAAAGATATTATTTCTTATTAACACCATGTTGTTAATTATATGTATATTTTGCTAACAAGATCTTGCCTGCTCCAATCTACTTGATAAAAACTTATTATTTGTTTGTGATATAAATTGAGATTACTTAAGCTAATCTTGAAATGATTTTTATTGTGGAATTTGTTTTGTTAAATTAGATACATATATCTCAAAGCTAGGTATTTATCAGCATAAAAAGATCATTTGATAGGCCAAGAATGATCCTCACTTCAGAAGCTTTCACCATACAAAATTCATGAAGTAAAGATAGGAAATGATGCCTTTTTCATGTTTCAGACCTGTTGCCAATTTTGTAGTAGGGTGAGTTAACCATGCATCGGACACATACCATGCTTCGGACAACTTTAAGCAATAAACTTTCATTAAACCCGAGTCTCCCCGTGTTTTTACTTGTTTCTGTCTTAAAGATGAAGATTTAAACTTTTTAATGATGCCGATTTTATTTTCATGTTGTGATAAAAATACCACAGGAATGGCCTTGAAATTACGTCATATTTTGCATCATCAAAGGGGAGTAACCAGAAATTTACGATTTTGCAATTTTTTGAGTTGTCGTTCTCTTAAATAGACGTCAACGGAACGGGTCTGACCTAGGTAAAATTTATCAATAATTGATAATTTTACAGAAATTTTCAAAAATTTTACTTCAATGTTTGTATAATATTTCTTAGAGTTGTTTTTAACTAGTATGTTTATTTCACCGTACATCGGACACAAATTGACCATGCATCGGACACTTTCCGATGCATGGGTAATCACTTCCATTTTCATATAAAACCCAAATGACAGCGTTTTTTACGGAAATAGAAAGTAGAAACTCTAAATTTTCAGTGAAAATACAAATAATCGATATATGACAACTAGAAGTGGACTCTGTTTATTTCTTTAAACTAGATGATGATAACCCACGAGACAAAGGCGTGAGTTGCCATATTACTAGTATTGTAAAGCCTTTCTAAGGCGATGTGATGCAACTAAAATCTCTTCACATTTGTGGATCGAAATAGTAATTCAAATTTAATTAGAAGGTTAGTTTTTAAATAAAAGATAAAAATGTTTTGATATCACTCATTTTAAAGCACCGAGATCGAGGTATGATATTTTTCTGGTTTAAATATCGTATGTCCGATGCATGGTGAATATTGTCCGATCCATGGTGAATTCTGACTTGTTCCGAAAAAAACAATTTTTAATGATATTTTCTCAATAAATAGGGTACAGTTGTGTCAAAAATTTATATTTTAACCACATACTACATATTAAGTTCCATTTTGATATTATTCGGTCGGTAGCGATATTGCTAGAACTTGTTGAAGTGCAAGGGTGTCCGATGCATGGTGAATTCACCCTATTTTTTTTAGAGAATAGCATATCAGCCTCATATTTTTGATAGTTGAATAATCAATGAGTTAGGTAGTATATATACACATCTTTTAAGAGAATATTTTTTAGAAAAGAAAAATACTAAATTATGGATAAAGAAAAATGCCATGTCAATTTAAAAGACACAAGTTCTGAATTAAAATGAACTGGCGTCAGATTTTATGTGAAGTATATGAATTTTGAACAACAATAGTGAATTCATTGCATAAAGGAAAAAACAGAAGCAATCCAATCTGAGACATTTCTTAGTCTCTCCAATGTATATCTATACAATATATTTCAGAGAGGAAAGTGAAAGTGTCCTGCAACTGAAGGGGCTTACACCCAATGGACTTCTCCCTCTAGGGGCATTGTCAGGTGGCAAAGAAACACTCTCAACAGGTATTGCTTAATCAGAATGTGGCATGGAACAATCTGAAATGTGACAAAATATTAATTTTTCTGTATCCACTTAAATGGCAAGAAGACTGCCTTTGTCATGCTTGTCTTTGTTTTGGTTGGTTCTAAACTCGGGGCCTGGAGTACATTTTGGGACATGAAAAATGATTTTTGTTTTATAAATAAGTCTAACTTTAAATGTGATTTTAAATAAATTCATCAATTCAGGCAGATTTTATGCAAGATATCAGTTGCTTAAGCATAGCCAATATATTTTTTTTAGCACTGAGTGGATTTTCACCAACTCACAAAATCAGTGGGTTTGAGGAGGCAAAATGCTTAGACAAAATGAATGAAAGAAGACCACCAGAGAAAGACTCCCTAAACAATTCCACAAGATAAGGAAGAGCTGGCAAGATGATGAGCTGGTCTCCTCATAGGCAATATCTGAGACTGCACACCTAACACTCACTGGTCATGTGCAGTCTCATCTGTTTTGTCATTTCGGCTGTCAATCAACAGCAGAAGGGAAGATTTTTTTCTAGCATGCTACCAATTCTCATAATTTTCCATTTTGTAATATCTGCTGATAATGCATTTTGCCGGATTTCTACAGAGTTTATGGATTTCTACAGAGTTTATGCATTTGCTCACTCATCCTTTTATCTGTAAATGAGTTTACTTTGTAAGGACAGGATTCTGATATTTTTCAGTGATAGTGCAAGAGTTGTTTTCATTCTAGTCATAGTGTAGAAACTGAAGCATTTTTCAGCAAGGCCAGCTGATTACTTAGTGTGTGCAGATGACTTGGTCATGTTTGACAGGGTACGGACATAGAAGGCAGCACAGCTTTCAGAAGGAAATAAAGGACCTGCACCAATTGGCTTGAATTATGTATCACAGTGTGTGTGAGAGTTCATCCGACAGAAGTTGTACTAATCACAACTTACAAACACTCTCTTCAGGAAAACCTCTAGGAAGACTTCAGCTTTTTGTGATAAAAGAAGTGAACAAAAGTGTTTTTAAAATGCTGCAGAAATGGAAATTGTGAAGACATATGTGATTGAAAAATCTCATAAAATAATCACGAGGATGGGAAGTAAATTCAAAAGATCTGTGCTGAATGAACAAATGCAATTGATTATGTATATGTCATACTCTGTACGCATCCTCCAGATTTATGGGAGATTGCTTTTTATGTATGGATTGTTCATGTTTGTTTACATTCTCACGTTGATCTGTACTTGTATATATATATATATACATGTATATTAATATAAGTGTCGAATTTTAAATGGTGTGTTTTCTCAACAACAACAAAAAAATTCCCCAAATTTTAGTGTATCTGAATTACTAGTCCCATTAAATTATTATTTCTTTGCTATTTCTTGTGGATATAAGCATCATGTCAGTACTATTGACAGTTTTGAAGCTTTGTATGTAGTGCTATAAACAAAGAGAGAGAAATCCAGAATTCTATTTTTCTTTTTTTGTGTTTTTAGTGATATGCCACATTTGTCTGCAACACATAGACAACAGTGACAGTGCAATTCAAATTATGTATGTTTTTTTTTTTTTTTTGCATATGAACCAAACATGGTTTTTATTACTTCCAGGTTTCAGAAGGTCTTGTATAATTCATGTGTTTAAGATCAGGGCGACCTCTTTCCCCCCTCATTTTCTGTATAATGTTCCATAGAGAAATATCCCACTGTTAATTTCTGAAATCCTTGACTGGAAAAAAGAGCAGAAAAGTTACAGTTGTTATTTTCAGAATGTTTGATACTTCTAGTCAGTAATTTTGTTATGGTTAACATGTTTTAATTTAACAGCCAGTAAAATTGTGAAATGTGTTTGTCAGCTATCCCCTTCAAAAATAAAAGGAAAGTTATTTAATGTTAAAAATAGCATTATGGAACAAATTCATCAATTTTTGCAAAGTGTGTATAACTAAAGTTGAAATATTAGCTTTTTTTTTGTTTACATGTAGCATATTGAATGGTGTAGTGAATCTGCAATGAGAGGCTTCTTTGTTTAGTAGCAGCACACCTTACTGGTTTATTGTTGATGTTATGAAATCCCCTTCCCCTCCCTTCCTTACTATTTTTTTTTCATTGGATGATGATATATGTAAATGCCATGTTTAAGCAATGAACAGAAGTGTATTTTGCAGATATTTTTTCATTATTATGTATGTCATTCCGATTTTCAATATACTAATGATGAAACCTTATTCAGGGCTCGTAGTAGAAAATTGTCTTAGCTCACAGTGCAATTTGTGTTCTTTGTGGTTGAGTGACCTTGTTGCATCCTACTAATGTAACTTGTTATTAATATATTTGTAGAATTGTTCCTAGCCTTTTTGGCACTAAACTTCAGTTGTTATTCCTCAGTTTTAAAAGCAGAATTTTTCAATTTAATATGAACCTCACCTTACAAGTCTTTCCCTACCTAGTTCTTGATTTAAGTTGATATCATTATGTTTGTATTTATAAACAGAAATTAATTTAAAAAATTTAAGCATGTTTCTAAAATGTGCTATACTGGGTTCCTTATGACATTTCAAAATTAAAAGCCAGGAATAACGAAGTGAGCAAATGCAGAAAAACGTGCTGTGATGGCCATTCATCAAATTTATTGGATGCCTGAAGCCTGGTCAAAGTATCAGTTATTGTTGAAAGAGTGAAAGGATTTTTTTTTCTCTCATTATTTATTTTTTTAGTATTGTTGTCATATTCCCGGTATATGCACAGAAAGAAAGAGGTTTGATAGAGTGTTGTGTATCTGCAGTTTGTTGTAACTAAATTCATGTTATCAAATTTTGATTCTTTCAATTTCTTGTATTATAAGGAATGTGTTTCCATTGAAATGTAATAATGAGTCTACTTTCTGGATAGTGTAGTTGTGAAGTATGTCGATCACAACAGAAAAAAAAATGGTCAATTGCCATTTAAGCAGTGATAACTTTGATGTTAATCTTTAAATGTGTTTTACAATTCTCTGCAATTTAAACAGTTTTGACAACTTTTAGGTGTTGTCTTTAGATGTCTGGAAACTGGTGTTGTTCTTCAAACCATTTTCTCTACCAACAACATTTTTATACTTAATAAATAATTACTACAAAAAAACTTTGTGTTTTTTGCCCTCGGATGCCTATGGCATGACGAAGTGAAGATGATAAAATTTTCGTTGATTTTTCAGTTAACATTAATGTATACTTTATGTAAACTTTACAATGTTTGCAACAATATCAAAATTTTGAATCATTGGTTTATGCATACACACACCATATTCATTTCTTTGGACTAATGGACTATGATACAATTTTTCTATATCAGTGGGTCTTTGCTCCCTTTCTTTATAGTATGTGTAAAAGATTAACAGAAACATGGAGCAAGAATCCACTAGACAATAAAAATGCACTTTTATCCCATGATTACCCCTTTATCCCGTGGATATCACTCATTGGATATTTTTTGATATCCCACTGCTGTGACGTAACAATGGGTTTTGCGTAAGAGTGATGTAAAACAACGTGGATTCCTATATAAAACAGTATAAAACATTGATAGTGATTTATAAAACATGGGATAAGAAGAATGTCACATGATTTGTAGTTGGTTATGATTTTTATCCAACTCGTTTTTTTTATCCCCTCTCCAAAAAACACAACTTATTGGATAAAGTCATATCCAATACAAATCATGGGAGATCCTATACTGCCACAACATTTGTATTTTAGAGAAATACAGTTGAACTTCGGTATCTCAAATACCGTGGATCAGCTGCCATGGATATGTTGGAGATTTGGAAGTCCCAACTACACATTTCTTTAGTATTTTACCCTTGATATCTTTAACCCTTGGACATCCCGAAGTTTTTTCTCGGTCCCATGGAATTCGAGATAATAGATTTGACTGTATTAGAAGCCCATTGGTTCAAGGGTCTTATTACAAACAAGATTTTAATGCCAAGATTTGAAATGGGCTATGTGGTATAGTGGTTAACTTGTAAGTCTCTAAGAAAAGGCTGATACTCAAGGTTTTATTGCTTTGGTTCAAACCCTATACTGATATCGTCAATCTATTTTAAAATCACCCCAACCTTAAACAAATTGCAACAGAAATTATGCCAATTGAATTTTGTAATTTGTAATGCTCCCATCAAAATATCAAAACTCTAGAAAACTATATTTGTCCAAACATAATTTTTTGTGCTTTCAAAAAACCAAGATTTTGTTAAAAAGACGACAAATAACGTGTTTTATCCCAATTAATCTTAATACTTTAATCAGATGTAAATGCAAAAAAATCAACAGTATTCTTTCAATTAATGACTCGTAAATTGCATAAGTTCAAGAAAAAAATTACAAATGCAAAATACAATGTACATGTTGCATGAAATAGAGCAATTAAGTTTTCAGAAACTGCATTTAATTAAGTGCAACTCTAGCCAGTCAGGTGAAGAGATAGGAGCTATGCAAGGTAAACCTCTGGATTCAAATACAGACAACACACATATGGATGGTGCAATGAACTTTATGCTTTTTGATCTACACTTCATTTTGTATGTCATCCAGAGTTAGAGAAGGAGAGTTGGAGCAATATATACCTCGACACTCTCCACAATTACTAGAGCAATCAATTCCGTGCTTTTTACAGGTACACCGTTTTGAATCACAATTGATTTTACATGAACAGTGAATTATTTGAAGTAACTTCTCTGGGGCAGGAGGGAGTGTGGCTTTAATAGGTAGTAATTTGTTATCTGATATAAACCAGCCAAAATCAAGTGGGTCAAGTTGGCTTCCATTACCCATCCAAACCTTGCACTGCAAATATGCACGTAAAATGTGGAACTTAGCTGAATCTGATGTTGGAGGCAGGGAGTGAACTTGAACATACAAATTCCCTTCTAAAACTCTTGCTGTAAATTTTCTGTATCGCAAAAGGTTTAAATCCTCATACTGAATGCCACCATACAAAAGTACCAGAATATCCTCTCCAGCTTTCACAATGTCGTCAAGCTCTGTGCTATTGACAAACTGCATAATTAGTGTCTGGAAGCCTGGAGATTTCGCCTTTTTTAGAATAGCCCCTTTTCCAATACCATAAATTCTTGATGTTGTATCACATCCACTCAATGCATGGATTGCTGGGAGAATTTTACAGATGACATCCCCAAGATTTCTTTTTGCTTCTATGATGTTCCATACTCTTACTTTACGAAGTGATGTTTGTCTTTGTTCTGATTTAAGATAAATATGGTTCATCTCAAGATCAGAATGATGAAGGAGGAGAACCAGAAGATCTGTGTCTTCACCAATCACCACTGTTTCATTTTCTTTAGCATGATCGATAGCAGTTTTTACAATAAGAAGGTCTGCATCTCCTGTGGCATTATGGACTGTTATTCCAGTCTTCCTCAAAGCTCCTGAAAGTAAGTCAATGAACTTTTGTTTGTTGCTTTCGTTTGCAAGAAATATATCTTTCTTTGACATGAAAGGCATGTCATCTACAAAGTCTATAGCAGGGGCATTTTTCATCATTCTGGACCTGCATATATGAGTGATGTCTTTGGTAGATGGTTGGTTTTGATAGCCATCAAACACAACCGCAGCAGCGGCTCCATATCGCCGGTTTACATAGTCGGTGTATGCTTGGCAAATTGATTTGAATGTGTCACCTCTATTCCATGGAATCTTATGCAATAAAGAACCACCATCCAATATGTAGTCAGCTTCTCTGATCTGGGCATCACTTGCACTGCAATGGACAGTGTTCCACAAGGCATCTGCAAGTGTTGATTTGTTTGCCTCTCTTGGCAAACCATCTTTATCAAAAAGGGAAGATGGAACACTGGTAAGTTCGTATTTAAAGATTTCCGAAGGATCTTCAAACATTCCATTTGCAGCAGTAGTACATCGCTGAAACAACAGCTGTGGATCTACATCTACTGGATCACCATCTAATTTCGCTTTACATTTTGAGGATAGTGTCACTACTTGTTGCGACTTCTTGAAAGTGTAGTCCACAATATTTTGTCCTGGTAAAGCTGAAATTATTTTCTTTCCAACGTCTTTTGCGGTGTCGGCATTGACAGACTTGTGAGCTACTTCCCCTGTGTGGATATTTCTCAATGTGTTGTCTCCTTCAAATGGATTGCGAAGTCTGAGGAACTCTAGAACTGCTGAGATGTCATTCTTGTCTCTTGACATTCTTGCTGTTGAGGCTTCTTTATGGATGTCAGATGTTTGGAATCCTGTACCAGTTAAATCTTGCAATGCTTCATTTATCTTTGCACAGGCTGGCATTGACATGATCCATTGAGCACGCTGGTTCTCACCCATCCCTCGACCTCTGGTCATTCCACCAGATGTTTTTATGGTTCGCATTAAAACCTGTTCAATCACTAAATCTGTTGAAAGTCCACCCCAATATCTTTCACTCCTTCTGAGAACATGATGTCCGCCTTGGAAAGCAGTAAATATTTCAGGATGTTCAGATGGTAATATGTGCATTGATGTCAGATAGACATAAGCGGACTTTGTGTAAAGGTTATGTCCAGCTGCAGCAAAGAATGGTAACATATCGTACATGGTTTGAAGATGAAGATTCCAATCTCCTGTTCTCTCTGCCCTTATAAATGTACGAAGAATTTGTACCATTTCAGAATACTGAATCCAAATCTGGGCCGTACGGTTATCTTTTAAAGCAGTGACTTCTTCTTCAAATATTTTTTTTGTTTCCAATAGAATCTGATTTTGGCATGCCTCCTCAATACTCATCTCCCCATTTGATAACTTGTCATAAATGTTGGCTGCGCTATCTAATAGAGTGTTTCTTTGATGGTACATTCTGCTTTCCATTTCTTCTGAAGATACATCTTCAAAGTCCTCCTTCTGATTGATCATGTCATTAAAATCATTGTGCTTTACTGTAGTCTGTACTTTGCTTTCCAACACATTTGTATCCATGTCAACTTTGAAAATTTTGCTCATCAGTAAAGCGTGGATTGCTGTGTCTACAATCATGTGACCTCTTATTGCTCTAGCAACAGCTTTTCCGCTCAACATATGAGGTACTGTATTGGATGCATAGACAATTTCCAAAATTTCTTGGAGACCAGAGCCGCTCATGATGTGCCCTATGCAACCAAGGAAACTCATTTCTGTGTGAAACCCGCCTAAACGCAACACAAGTGATTTGAGGGAACTATCAGGCATTTCATTGGCTATGATTGTGTAAGCTTTCCAATAAAGGGGTTGGTCAAAGGTAACTACTGGTGTTACACCATAACGTCTTGCCTGGGAACAAATGAAGTTCAAGGTCGAATAAACACAAGAAATATCACTTGCATTCATGTCAATCATAGGTAGGAAGACAACATCAGACTTTCCAGGATATTCACCATCCTGAATCATTTGCATGAATCCAGACCATCCAAATGTAGGAGCCCTTAATGGCCAAGTGATAACTGATAAGAAATCTATTAGCCGGGTTGTGTCTATGACATTCAAATCATCGAGTTCCTGGTAACAAAGACTCGCCATTGAATTTGATGATGGTTTGTAGTATGTTATATCAATCTTTGCAAGTTGCTTCAGTTCCTCTCCAGAAACAACACATCTAGCAATTGGTTCTTGGTAGTTTGTTGCTGGTGTAATTCCTGCAATCATTCCCATCCCATGAAATGTGTCATTGCCATCCAATGTTCTGATGTTGTGGTCAACATTATCAGCTACAAACTGAATGAAGCTTTGTTCTGTACAACCTGGGATATCAATGCCTTTAGTTAATGCTGCAGAGGTTTCAAATTTT